AGAAGGTCGACAGAGAAATGCGGTTCTTGCGTGTGAGCTGTGTGTTCATAGGGGAGTGTATGAACACAAACTGAGGTTGACGTGTCCTTACTTTTATGCTAATTTGATCCTTATTCTTTGATATATTGTAGGATTAAAGAAAAAAATTAAGAGAAGCGATGAAAGGAGCACGAAGCGCGGAGTCTCACCTTGACGAAGGCAGGAAGTCCGTTAGGCCAGTGGCGTCCCCTGGTATATAAGTGGAGCGGTGCCACACTGACACAATAACCCGACCCTTTCGACATGTTCTCAGTGAGTTCCCAGGCAGGGCATACCTTTCCTTGGTGGATCTATCAGATTTGGATAAAATAAAAACTTGAGTTTATTCAACTTAACAAAATTTCATGAAATTGCTTTACCTTCCCTCCACGTGCTTTATGATATGACAATTTCGCAGATTTTAGTATGTGCTTTGGTGGCGGTGGTTGCCGCAGCCCCAGACCACTACGGACCACCTCCGGCCAGGTTCTATGGCATTCCCGGGGCGTATTCAGGTCCAGTCATTCCCATCCTGAAGGACGAGCGTGAGGGACCTGACGCATCAGGAGTGTACAGCTTTGAGTTCGAGACCGGCAATGGCATTAAGCGTGAGGAACAAGGTGCCCCTCGAGGACCGTCTGGCGCAGTGGCCATGCAAGGAGGATGGTCGTGAGTACAAAGCATGATTTGTTTTGATTCTTTTTTCAATGCTTTTGTGGATTTTATTGCTCGCACATACATAACTATGCATTCAGTCTTAATTGGATAAGATTTAATTATATTTAATTATAAATTTAATTATAAAAATAAGATTTAATATCTTTGTGAATGAGCATTCCTCCTTCCTTTTCTGTTCAGTTTCACTTTCCCCGACGGCTCTCCCGCCGACGTGACTTTCGTCGCCGACGACGCTGGTTACCGCGTCGAGTCCGACCTGCTGCCCACACCCCCTCCCCTCCCCGCCCACGCCATCGCCCAGATCGAGAAGGCTCGTCGGGAGGGCGCAGCTGCTGCCGCCCTCAGCGGGCGTTACTCTGCCCCTCGGACTACCTATGGATACCCTTAAGATGATCTTAAAATATGAATATAAATTTAATGTATTGTGTATATAAAAGGAAGTAATAAAGCAAATAGTGATATATCTGCTTTCATTGGGAGGAATATATACCACCTCTATAATACATTAGCATAGAAAAAAATGCATTTGACTAAACATTTGTGCGATATCAGGATATGCGTAAGTGTTATCAGTGGAAAGAGCAAAGAATAGACATATGATTGCGTATGTATATATGTGTGTATGTTTAAATTATACATATATAGTGAATAATTAGGTTCTTATTAATTGGACTGGTTTAGTCTCGGGTTAAATCAAAACAAAATCCTCGTACATTTATTACACTTCCACAATATACAGTATTTCACACAAAATTATTGTACTTCCCAATTTTCCACTTTCACAAAATTATAGTTTGTTTCAATTCCAGCTTCAGTTTCTCTGCTTTCGTTGACTCCTTTTCGGTCCCTATATGGAGATAAATCTCCAAAAATAAATGAACCTTTACGTCATTTACCTAAGTCTTTTTTAAATTATATATATATATATATATATATATATATATATATATATATATATATATACACATATATATGAATCCAAAAATAAAGTCAGATTTCTCCGTCAATCCCAAAAACAAATGAATTAACCATAACCATGCATGGATGTCCAAGAGCGACTAAACGAGACAATGAATCTCTACTTAGTGGCCACCTTGACCATGTCACGGTTAGCCACGTCACGAACCTTTTCCTCGCCACTGAACGAGACTGAACAACTCAACGCCCACAACCATCTACTGTCCGAATTACAAGTTGCTCGCTTATTTGTCGCACATCTTGCTTATATCTTCCATTAACGATCTTTTAAATACGATCCCTCCACACATACACACACACGCACGCACACACACACACATATATATATATATACATATATATATATGCATGTATGTATACACACAAACATATATATGTAATATGTATATATATATATATAATATACATATATATATATGTACATATGTGTGTGTGTGTGTGTGTGCATATTGATCAGTTCATATACACAACCATATATTTGTATACTTATGATTATATAAAGCACACAAAGGAGTGTTGTTATGTGCGCGTTTTTTATGTATAATTAATGATATCTATTGGTAATAAGCACATGTATAAACACATACAAATATATATATGTGTGCACACATTGTCTATCTGTCTAGACACACACATGTGTATATATGTATATATATTCATAAATTTATACATACATACATACATATGTATATATACATAAATATATATATATACTGCACACACACATCTTGTTCCTCGTCCTCCTAAAGCTTTTGGCTATATACAATTTGCTTTTCCCGTTATAGTTTACTGTCAACTGCAATACTAGTAATAATGAAATATATGGAATGATATAGAATAGTAAACTATATTGATAATACGGATATTTATTAAAGCAAATTATATATACAGCATAACGCGCGCACGCCAGTGTGTGTATGTGTATATATTTATGCATATATGTGTGTCTATGTATATAAATGTACATGGATGTGCGTGTGCATGCGTATATCACATATCTTACCATACGCCAGCATCATTGAAAATTTCCTTCTTGAATCTCCGCTCTCGGGCAATTCGGAGCCGTACTTATCGGGTAGCTAAGAATGATCAACGACACGATTGATGATTTTGAAATGAGTAATGTCGTCTATGGTATTAATATTGTCGTTTTTTCTTCATTTAAGGATTTTTATTGGATCATTATCAATACTATTATCCTTATAATTCTTATTTTACCATCGCAATTATAATTACTTATTTTCATTTTTATCGTTCGTTAATTTCTATTTCCATTGTAGCTATTTTGACAATTTTGATAACTAAATTCTATGGCTATCATTTCCAGTGTGACTTCAAGTAAATGAAACACCCTTCTAAAGGTATTTGGAATAATGATTCCACATCTATACATATCGCACCGCTGAAATCTGTCTACATACTTTCCACATATATCTACAAGATAATCTGTTCACCTTGGTGAACACAGGAAGACCTTGCAGGCAGTAAGAGGCCGCTGGTATATAAATGGAGCGGGATGCTACCCTTGGCACATTGAAATCTACTCTATCAACATGTTCTTGGTAAGTTCACAGGCACTGAATACTTGTGCCTGATGAAATCCAAAGTTTGGAATAAACCATGAGAAATATCTGTTGAGAATAGAAGCAAACTTCCCCTCTTATGTTATTTACTCTAATCTCATTTCCGCAGATCTTCATCTGCGCTTTGGTGGCGATGGCTGCCGCAGCCCCAGACTACTACAGACCACCTCCGACCGGGTTCTATGGCATTCCCGGGACGTATTCAGGTCCAGTCATTCCCATCCTGAAGGACGAGCGTGAGGGACCTGATGCGTCTGGAGTATACAGCTTCGAGTTCGAGACTGGCAATGGCATCAAGCGTGAGGAACAAGGTGCCCCTCAAGGACCGTCTGGCGCAGTGGCAATGCAAGGAGGATGGTCGTGAGTAACATCCATATATATTGATATAATGTAAATGTTTACAGAAATTGATTTCTCATTCAAACTGTCCTTCATTATTATAAGTGAGACAACCTTGGAAAGCACCAACAAGCTGTGCTTGTGTGAATTTGTCTGACATTGCATAATCTTCTCTCCTACTCAGTTTCACTTTCCCCGACGGCTCCCCCGCCGATGTCTCTTTCGTCGCCGACGACGCTGGTTATCGCGTCGAGTCCAGTCTGCTGCCCACGCCCCCTCCCCTCCCCGCCCACGCCATCGCCCAGATCGAGAAGGCTCGTCGGGAGGACGCAGCTGCTGCCGCCTTGAGCGGGCGTTACTCTGCCCCACGGACTAGCTATGGATACCCATGATGTGCTCTGATAATGTGCATCGAAGTTTAACCTATTGTATATAAGGATAACCAGAATATAAAAATCCATGAATAGTATTTCTTTTCATTAAATATCTAGTATATGATCAAGTATATACTTCCATTATGTATACATCTATACAAAATATGTATATCCATATATATATGCATACATACATACATATATATACATATATATAAAAATGACAGACATATATATATAAATATGTATATATGTATACATATATACATATGTAAGCGTATATATGTATATATACATATGTAATCATATATATGTATATATATACATGTACAGTATGCATACACACATATATGTACATATACATGTTTGTATGTATATATTTATGTATACATATATGTGTGTACAGGATGTATATAGATGTATGTATACACATAATATACATTATATTTATACGTGTACATTATGTATATATACATGTACACATATATATACATGTAGAGTATATACATAGACATATTTATGTACAGTATTTATATATACATGCATATATATACATATATACATACACACTCATACGTGCGTTTGACACTACAGTAGTGACAATTATTGAATCATATACTGTAAATATATATATATATATATATATATATATATATATATATATATATATGTATATAAGTCAGCCTAAAATCGAAGATAAAGCTATACAGGTCGCTGGTTCTCTCCATTTTGATATACGGTTGTGAGAGCTGGATTCTGACTAGTGACACTGAAAGAAGGATTCGAGTTTTCGAGATGAAGTCCTACAGGAAAATCCTACGAATATCTTATCGTGAAAGGAAGACAAATGAGTATGTCAGAGCAATGGTAGCCAGTATTGCAGGCAAGCAAGTATCCCTCCTTAGCACCATTAAGAGACGCAAGCTAAAGTGGTTTCGGTCACATAACCCGCCACGACTCATTGGCAAAGACAATCCTACACGGTTCGGGTGAGGGAAGACGTAGACAAGGGCGCCCGCAGAAGAGATGGATGGAGAACATCAAGCAAAGGTCGGGAAAAGATGCTGCAACTTTGAATCGTCTAGCAGAGGACAGAAAGGAATGGAGAAGCCTCGCCAATGAACAGACCCTGATCATGCACAAAGCGGTCAATGGTACCCATGATAGTGCTCTGGGTGTCTGTGCTAACGCTTGCAGTGTTTGTCTGTATGTATTTACAAATCAACCTTGCAATTAGTGTTCTTTCATTCTTCATGGGACTTGTTTTCTATTTTTTTCATCGACTGTATACATTGTATATAGATTGAAACTGATGAAAGTCAACGGCAAATGGCTTACTTAATGCTACAATGTTATATGATATTTCTCACGGAGTGTTTCCGTGATCGCCTTCCTTTACTTCTTCACCATTACCATCTTTACGCCTGCGGCCAGGGATGTCAAACTCATCTCCTGCGAGTTGGGCCCAAAACATGTGCGTCGGATAAAAGGAGCCATTTGTTAAAGGTTTAAAAACATAATAATGGATGTTGTATCTGAAAGTATAAGAGGTCATTTGAATAAGTCAAGAAATTAAGATATACATACCATTATATAGAGACCAAAAAACAATTAAATCACGCAAACCACAAGAGTCGCATGTGACACTCTTTACTCTAGGTTTTTTGTTTTTAAATATATGTTTGCCTTCACACTCTCACTTAATAGAATTGCAACCATAAAAGAAACTCCGTGCTGCGATTGTTGTTACAATTCACTTTATACGAAAGATAGATATATCCACAGTCTGAGGCAAATAACAAACTTTGTCTGTGGGGAGGAACTTCACCTTGACGCAAACAGGAAGTCCGTGTAGGCAGTTCGAGCCACCTAGTATATATAACTGGAGCGCGACGCTGCAATTGGCATACAGATTTCAACTCCGCCAACATGTTCTTGGTTGGTTCTCAGGCACTGAATATCTGTCATTGATATTGTTCTGAACCGTGCTTAATTTCAGTTTGAGAAGAAACATGTCATTGTTCATCTGGGCTTGTGATACAGACATGTTCTTAATTTACCGCAGATGTTCGTCGGCTTTTTGGTGGCGACGGCTGCTGCAGCCCCAGACCACTACGGACCACCTCCGACCAGGTTCTATGGCTTTCCCGGGGCGTATTCAGGTCCAGTCATTCCCATCCTGAAGGACGAGCGTGAGGGACCTGACGCATCTGGAGTGTACAGCTTCGAGTTCGAGACTGGCAATGGCATCAAGCGAGAGGAACAAGGTGCCCCTCAAGGACCGTCTGGCGCAGTGGCAATGCAAGGAGGATGGTCGTGAGTACAAAGCATGGTTCGTTTTGAAATATTTTTCTAATCGGTCAGTTGGTATGATAATATATTTCTTTTGCACCTGATACTTGCTTACATACATCGATTTTATCAGTTTTTGAGAAGCTGTGCTTATGTCAATTTATCTAACATCACCTTATCATGCCTCCCCTCATTCCTTGTCAGTTTCACTTTCCCCGACGGCTCCCCCGCCGATGTCTCTTTCGTCGCCGACGACGCTGGTTTCCGCGTCGAGTCTGACCTGTTGCCCACGCCCCCTCCTCTCCCCGCCCACGCCATCGCCCAGATCGAGAAGGCTCGTCGGGAGGACGCAGCTGCTGCCGCCTTGAGCGGGCATTACACCGCTCCTCGGACAAGCTATGGATACCCATAA